CAGCCCTCCTTTTCAATTTATTGTAATTTTTTGTTTCCAGGGTTCTTTTCCTATGAGTGATTTTGTGTTTGTTTTACAGAAGTACTAGGGACTGAGGCCAGTGGTGCTCTATCACTGAGCCTCATTGCACCTCCTTTTTATTTTTTAAGACAGGATCCCACTAAGTTGCTTAGGACCTGGCTAAATTGCTGAGGCTGGCTTTGAACTTGTGATCCTCCTGCCTCAGCCTCCTGAGTCATGGGGATTACGGGCATGCACCACCATGCCCAGTTCTTTTTTTGTAAAATATTTTTTTTTAGTTGTCAATGGGCCTTTATTTATTTATATGCAGTGCTGAGAATCGAACCCAGTGCCTCAAACATGCAAGGCAAGCATTCTACCATTGAGCTACAACCCCAGCCCACCCAGAATCTTTCTTAATACAGTCTTGTTGACAGAATCTACTAGTGGAGCTGATTCAAAAGTTGTGACTTCTTTGCTGGCTCTGGTTTCATTGATGTCCTAAAAGTGACCCCTAGGGTTTTCCATCCTTCAAAGATATAAAAACAAGTCCCCCAGTTCTTAAGCTCGTGTTCATAGAATGGCGCATGGGGCCGCAAGCAGAGCACAGACAGCCCTGGGTTTGCTCCACTGAGCCAGGCATTGTCCTGAGATCCCCACATTTCCCATGCCTCCTTGTGGACTGAGTGGAGGAGATCCTGTGGCCTGGACTCCGCCTGTAAGGGGAAGATGCGGGCTCCTGCAGAGCCCTCCCCAGCCCACCACACCTCCGGCCCTGTCTTCCATTTCCCCTTGTCTTTCCTTGTCCATGCTCTTCCAGACAAACCTGCCACCGACTCCAGCTCCCACACTGCCCAGGCTTCCCACCTGAGAGCTCTCCTGTTCTGACTCTGAATGCACACGTCTCCTCTATCCTTTGGGGCTTGGTCCTGGGGTGACCTTTTCCAGGAAGTATGACCTGATCCCCTACTCCAAAGCCATCCTCCTGCCCCCAGACCCTGCAGGGACCCACCTGTCCCTCTCTTCACTGCTGGGAGCCCTGGCCACTGCAAGCGCTTTCCTCACCTGAGCCCATCTCATCTGCTCTGGGGATGCCTCCTGCCCATCTCCTCATCCTTGCACTGAGCAGGACACGAGGTCAAGGTCATGGTGAGGCTGAGGAAGCTAATCCCTGAAAAACTCCAGGATGGCCAGGCCGTGGGATGTGCCTGGTGTTGGTGGGCATCTCGTGCTGTTCTGTTCTTGTTAGGTTCTTCTTGTGGCTCTGAAGCCCATGTCCAGACTCTGCCCAGCACCCTGCATTCCCTCCGGTCAGCATGTTGATAGCGCTTACTGTGAAGTCCGCTGTGCCAGGGAAGGTGGCAGTGATTTTCAACTTAGGGGACAGGCAACTTTGTTTTTCTCAAAGAATAATTAGATGATGATAAAATCAAATGACCAGCAGATTTGAGTCCTCTGATACTCTGACCTCATGATGATGATGATGAGTAGTGGTAGTATGTGCTGCTTTTCTTTTATGAAAGCCAGCATCATTTAGGGACAAGATAGTGTCCACTCATCATTCCTACACAGATCAGTCTCAGTTTCTCCTCAGTGTTGCAGAAAATAACCTGTTCCCTAGCCACCGGCCTCCAGGGACTTGGGGATGAGCCAGGCCAAGGTCTGGGAGTGCATGGAGAGTGTAACTGGCTATGCCAGGCAGGGTCAGGCCAGGACAGCCATTTCTGGACAATGTTTGTGGTGGTCTTCTCCCTTTATCACCTGTCTTCATAAGTCTCTCATCCTTATGTAAAAGTAAAATGAACCTGTTGAAGATTTTAAAAACAACAAAAGCCCGAGGTTCCTAGGATCAGTGCTCAATTCCTCCTTTTTCACACTGTTTTGAGGTCGCCCGGAACTGGGAAGCAAGCACGCTGTGTTAGGGCCGAGCTCCAGTCCTGTTGGGGATGAAGGCGAAGGCGGAGGGTAGGCTTAGGTGGGAAGAGTGCCCCTCGGTGTGGAGGAGCCCGGGCGCTCCTGAGGGCAGAAGGCTGCCGCCAGTGGGTGGGGACTGCACTCCCACGCTCACGGGAAAGATGAGGTGCAGCGCGAGGGAGAAAGGGGTGCAGGCCGTGTCGTGGGTGGGGCGCACCGGCTCATGGCTGGGAGTCCAGGAGCAAGGGAGGCTAGCCCATGCCCAGCGGACCACTCCCAGACCGCCCCACCCGTGGAGCCCACAGACCCAGTTGCTGAGCACGACAGTGCGTTGTGTGGGGGGTGTAGGGGGTGCCTGCGAAGGGCGTGGCCTGCTATGGGCGTGGCCTGGTGGGCGTGGTTGCCTAGGGGGCGTGGCCGGCACCTCCCTGATGCCCGGTTTCTTTGTCCTTGCAGTTGGAGACTCCTACTGGGTGACCTACACGGCCTGGCTGGACTCGGAAGCTGTGGGGACCGGAGAGAGGCTGACCCTTCCTGCCCAGCTCACCTTTCAGAGCTCCTCACCGGTATCTCCTCTGTTACTTGGCTTTCTGTCTTGTCACTGGTGGGAGGTTTTAGGAACACTGACACGAAGGGCACAGATCAGTAGTGCCTGCCTGCCTGCTCTCAGTGGCACCTCACCCAGGGCAGTGGCTTCTGGTCAGTAACCTCCTGTCTCTTGGGCCAGTCACCTAGTGCCTCACCCAGGCTCACCCTAAGGGTGTGCCGTCAGTGGTATGCAGCTTGAACTGCTCTTGACTCTTCACATTGTGGGCACTTCCCCAGTGGGTGCCCTCGGTGTGAGTCTGCCAAACCCAGCACCAACCGAATGGCTTCCAGAGAAAACCACACGTTGATGCAGGTCCTGGAGGCCGCAAGCTTGAGAACAGGGGCTGGTGGGTGGCTCCTCCTGAGGCCTCGCTTCCAGGTTGCAGAGGGCTTCCTCCCTGTGTCCTCACATGGTGGTTGTCCTTCTGTTTATGTCTGTCTTCTTAGGAGGATACCAGGCCACCCTAAAGGTGGCCCACAGTCCATCCTAATGACTTCATTTTACTTTGAAGCCCCCGTAACATTCTGAGTCACCTCCTGAGGCACTAAGGCTTAGGACCTCTGTATCTGCATTTCGGGGCGTGATTCAGCCCGTAACACCATTATCCTTGGTCTCTCCTTTGCTCACTCCCCATTTTGTGGATCCGCTTGTGCAGTGAGCACCCTGGTTGGAAGTCCTGGGCCACACTGTGCACCCTGGTACAAGCTGGAGGAGGCATGGCCTTGCTCTCAGGGAGCTTAGGATGCTTTGGCTCCTTCTGCCATTTTATTGTGATTTTAGTCCCTGGATAAAGTCCCTTTTCATAGATGTGGAAAATGTGCTTTAGAGTGCTACTGTGACGGCCCCAGGTCACTGATGGGGGGGGGTGGGCTGCAGCCACTGGCAACTTCCGGGAGTTCCTACATCCCTGAGGCCATAGAGCCTGGGCAGCATTTCTGCTGCAACAGGAAAATGAAAAAAAAAAAAAAGAAAGAAAAGAAAAGCTGCAGATAAAATTGGACAAGATGAAAGATGCTGGAGGATAAAGACCAGAAGCGAGAAAACCGTGAGGCTGTCGGAACAGATCCATCCGTCAGGAAGTAATTAGGTACAAAGTCAAAAAATAGGACACAGAGAGATAAGAAATAAGGCTCAGATGGCCCAGAAGGAATGCCATCAACAATTTCAGAGGATAGGAACAAGTCAGCTAACATAAAAATTTAAGACAAAAGAGTCAGACACTCAAAATAAAATGACACTGGACTCTTCCTTGTCCTCTGGCAGGAAAATCAGGACCTCGAGCCAGGGCCGCAGTGTAGCCTTAGGCTTCCTGTGCACCTGGCACGGGGCTGGGGCAGCAGAGGTGCGGGTACTGAGTCTGAGTGACTGTCCCTGCCCTGCCACACCCTGCTGTGCTCCTGTCTGTACTGCTTGTCCTTGTCTGTGACGTTCACTCTGCCCCTTGTCTCCTGCTTCTACTAGCATGTCAGCTCCATGAGCCCAGGGACTCCTCTGTCCTCATCTTATCTGTGTCCAGTGCCAGAAAGAACCCTACACAGAGCAGGCGAATGAACAGATCAATGAGCTAATGAATCTTGGGCATTTTTTTTTTAACTTCCCTGAGCCTCAGATTTTTCATCTGTAGGAGGAAATCATTGAATCAATGTCTGCAGTCTTTGTGTGTGTGTGTGTGCGTGTGTGTTGGGTTGCAGTTTCCTCCCTTTCTGAGCCTTTAAGGCACGAGGTAGTTCTGTGGACAGTCAGGGCAGAAAGCACACTTACCTGCCCGCCAGAAGATTCCAGAGCTCCAAGCTTCACGAGCTGAGTTCCGGGCTCCCTCCTGCTGCTGTCTTGAGCTCTTAGCCTCAGACCTGTTCTGGAAGTGCAGTGTAGAAGGTGCTTGGTCAGTGTTTGTTGAGTGAATAGTGCTGGAAGTCGGCAAGGTCCCCGTCCCTTGTTCTCAGCTTGTTCCACTGGGTGGACTTGAGAGTCTGGGTGACTCCTGGGCTTTCCTAAATGCTATGGAGAGTCAGTGTGTCTTTGGGACTGAAAATGATCAGATCCTGAGTCTGAGTGAGACTTACGTGAGCTCCCCATGAGGGTCACTCTGCCTGTCCAGCACCACCTCCGGTGCCTCGGGGCTGCAGCCACTGTGCCAGCTGCGTGCTCACTCAGACTCAGACACTCAGTGGGACTTCACCAGGCTTCAGTTTCTTCATCTGAAAGATGAGAGCAGTGGGAAGATTCCCCAAGTCTCGTCTATTTCCGCCACTTTAGAATCATCTGGGAGCAACAGAGGAGAGAATGAAAATAATCTCCACTTCCTGAGAGCCTGCTGGGTGCCAGGCATGTGTGACCCTCAGAGCAAGGGGAGAAGCGTCAGAAATGCTTTGTCAAACGTACACACTTGCACACGGGTGCATACACACACACACACACACACACACACACACACACACACACACACCCCAAATCAAAGTGGGTTAGGTCACTGATCTAGACGAAGGCAGATCAGGAAGGAGAAAGTTAGGTTAGTGTGTCATGTAAACGTCACGGCCACTTTGGAAAGCCATCGCTTCAGTCCCCTGGCCCGTGTCTTCTGACTTGTGCTAAGGTTCAAAACATCTTTCCCAGCCTTGAGTTTACGCAGTAAGCCAGGGGTTAGGGTCTGAATCCGAGCTCCACGGCACAGGGACACTCCTGTTTGCCTAGGCCTGTGTGTCAGGGAGCACAGGAGGCAGGGGTGCTGTGGGGGACGAGAGCAGGGCAGAAAGCTCCAGGTGCTGCCTTCCAAATTTAGCCTTAGCTGTCCAGCTCAGGGGACCTGAAACCCACAGAGCATCATAAATGCACCAGAGCAGCGGCTGCTCAAGCAGAAAGGGCAGGGTGATCGCCCTCTAGTTGTCCCTTCTTTTAAGACTCATATTTAAATTTGTTTCTAAGCCCCTAGAAAATGAGCCATGGTAGTTGGTTTCTTTCAAAGCCTCTGACAGGTTGCCTGCTGCCCGAGCTGGACCTGGCATGCTGCATGCCTCCTGGGCTGTTGTCACAGTGGGGGCCCACGGGCCAGGGGGTTTTCTGCCTTGGAGCACAGGTCAGGTTAGAGAGCAGTGTCCCTGATGACCGCTGCACAGTGCGCATGGCTCACGGGACTTCAAGCTCCAGGCCCAAGGTGACGTGCCGGGATTCCACAGGGGAGCACTGCTCATCCCCGACCCCCAAATCCAAAATGCTGACAAACTTGTTGAGCACCCACATGACACCGCAAATGCCAAATTCCGTACCTGACCTCAGGGCACGGGTTCTGGTCAAATGCAGTTGCACTTTGTGTTATACAGAGTTCCTCTCTGGTGTGTGCGGAAAGCGTCTGCGGAACTTAACTGGAGTTTGCATTTAGTCCTGGGTCTCAGCCCCAAGAGGGTTCTTCATGAACATGCAGATATTCCTAATATGAAAACACTCTGAAATACTTCTCACTCAAGCACTTCGGATCGGGGACGCTCACCCTGTCTTCCCACCACCGCTCTCTCCACTCCCCCCACCTCCCCACTGAGCCCTGCTGGGCTGTGCCTTGCCCCTGCTGGGCATGGAGCTGTGCTCTGGCCTGTGCCCTTCCAGCTGTGGGGGGTCCTGCCTCCACCCCGCAGGCCTGTCCCGTGGTGGGTTTTCTTGGGTGCCCCATGGCTGCAGAGGGTGTGGACACTCACCCTTCATGGGTCTGGTGTCTTCTCAACAGAGGGACATTGAAGCCATTAGGTGGGCCCACAGGGTGTGTCACCGTGAGAGGTGACCCTAGGCAGAGAGTGGGTGGTCTCCCCTGGACACACATCTGGCAGCCTTGGGCCCACCCCTCTCTGGGAGGCCTGGCCCCCACCTGTGTTTCCCACACGCCGTGCTGCGGGCTCTCCTGGGTCTAGGAACCTGGTGCTGGGTTTGCGCGTGAGCGTTTGGTGGAGAAAGCAGGATCCAAAATCACAGACTTCCCAGCAAGGGACTGCAGGACCCCGCGGGCTCCTCCTTGCCCAGCTGTCGGCCGGGTGCCTGGTGGGCAGAACATGACACCAGTGCCACCCTGCGGACCAGACTCCGGGAGCAGTGACCAGAGTGTTTTTTTTCTTTTCCAGAACAGGACACAGCTGAAAGCCCTTCTTACCATAACAGCAGAAGAGAAGGTAACGGTAAGAGACACGTGACCCATGTCCCTCACAGCCACGGTGTCGGCCTCTGGCCTGTCCTGGGAGCCAGGGGAGGAACCAGCTGTGGGCCTCACAGCCCAGATGGGGTGGAGGCTGGGGACTGTGTGGTGTTGCGGCTCCTCCGAGTGGCCATGGCTGTCTGGCTGGCCTCCCCAGGTGACACCCCAAGGGGCAGCCGCCATCTGGACAGGCCAAGGTGCCACCTGTCCCCCTGTGCTGCCCCTAATCCTGGTCTCACGTTGCCACCAGCTGCTGGTGACTTCCCGCATCGTCCCAGAGCCCTGTGGTTGGCAGCTGGCTCCTGCCTCTGCTGATCACCACCCTCACTGTCCCGTTTCCGTTCATCATTTTGGTGGCTTCCGGGGCACACATCCATGTGTTCATCGAGCACTGTGTCCTGAAGCGTGTCAGAGCTCTCCAGAGGGAAAAAACGGACGGACGCGTGTAGGTGTTACAGGAGGGGATTCGTTAGAGAGCTTGACTCGGGATCGTGGAGGCAGAGAAACCTCATGGCAGGCCGTCAGCGAGCGGAGACCCTGGCGTGCTGGTAGCATGACACGGTCCAGATCTGAAGGGTCAGGACCAAGGAAACCCATGCATGACATGCGTCTCAGTCCAAGGCCCCACGTCCCGGGACCCAGGACTGCTGGTCCTCTCAATCCAGGCCCAGAGATCCAGAGTTCTTATGTCCAGGAGAAGAGGGGTGTGTGTGTGCCCCCCGTATTCTTTCTCTGACTGGGACGCAGGAGGGTGGATGGTGCCTGCCCTCACTGAGGGTGGGTCTTCCCTCCTGGGTCCACTCAGAGCTGCCCCCAATCACCCTCACAGTCACATTCCAAAACAGTGCTGCCCTGGGTGTCCTTATCCCACCGAGGTCACCTACCTGACCCCCCACCCTCTCCAGTAGCACTTCCTGAGTGTCTGCTGGTGCCAGCTGTCCTAAGCAACTGACAGACACCGACTCCCGTCATCTTCACCACCATCTTGGGAGATGGGTTCTGGCTTGAAATCACCCCATTGCCCAGCCAGGGAAACTCGGGTCAGGTGATTGCCCAGGGTCCCACGGTTGGAGCGTTGTGGTCCCCAGGCCACCTCCAGGCCTGATGCTCTCTCGTGGGACTCGCAGGACTTACGGAGTCATACAGGGCTACAGGTGATTCCAGGGCAGGACCCAAAGCAAGAGGAGCAGAGGGGAGAGGCGGAGGGGGTGGAGCAAACCAGCCACAAGCCACCAAGACCACCGCACGGGGGCGGCGTGGGGTGCACGTGGGGTGTGGCATCCACTAGGGAAGCTTGAGGGTCTTGCTGGCAGGGTGTCGGGGGCTGGCCACGTGGCACCTTCTGCCCGGCAAGTACCAGGATTCCAGGCTCCTGCAGGAAAACAGGGTTGGGCACAAACCCCCTTGTTTGTGTGGGCATTTGAGAGCAGAGCCACGCTCACCAGTGAGTGGTGGGAGGCCATGTCCCCAGAGGCCAGGACCCCACCAGCCCATGTCCCCAGAGGTCAGCCACGGCCCAGCCCCTCAGGCAGCCCTTTGAGGCTAGCAGTGTTGGAAATTTAACCCTTCTGCATGGCCAGTGGGTGGAGGTCAACAGTCAAAGCCAGGTAGGTCACCGGGCAGCAGGCCACATCACCTGCTAGTGAGCTGGAGCCCTGTGCAGACGAGATGGAGAGTGAGACGAGCCCACAGTCTAGTGGGCCTCAGGGACACTGGTGACCATTTCTCCTTGTTGGCTGTGAGCTCCTGTGTCCCCAGTGCCTTACCTTGCTGGTGGCATTGAATAGGTCAGCATCCTTTGATTGAGCTGACTGTCGCCAGTGGTGGTCGCCGCTCTGGGGAGAGGGCTGGCTGCTGCGTGGCTGCATCCACTTCACGGCTGTCCTTGCTTCGTGCCCAGCCCTCTGGGAGGATGGCGCTGAGCCCTCCCAGGGCCTACGGCTGCCTTTCTGAGGAAGCAGGAGCAGTGCCCCTCTGGGGTGCAGCCTGCCCTGCCCAGGTGCCCGCAGGCTGGGGGCCACGTTCAAGCAGTACCCTATTGATGTGAGGAATACAGAGATGGCACCCTACATTGCTGTGGGCACAGCGGGCACTCAGACCAGAAGGCCTGGCCTCGAGTCCCTGTCCCTCCACTGACTGTGGTCTTGGGAGGGTGGCTTACCTCAGTCGTAAATGAGAGTGATCCTTGGACCCACCTCCTGGGTGGTTGTCAAGGCAGGTGTATGGCAGGTGGGCACCCCGTGCAGGGCCTGGCAGTTCACAGTGCTCAGCACACACCTGCAGGGGGTGTCGGTACTGTTGACGTATGACATGACTCCGACAGCCTTGCCAGGTGATCTGCGATGGCTGAGAATGTGTGCCGCTTCCCAGGGCCCCAGGCTCAGGTGCCCACACGGTGCTAGAGAGTGGGTCTGGCCCAGTGCAAGATCTTAAGTAGCAATGGAGTCTGGGGCCATCTGGGGACTCAATCTCTTCACGCCACTGTCCCCACATCACACTGAGACATTAAATGAAAAACAAAAAAGACCAAATGGTGCACAGTTATGATTGAATTTCTGAGTTTATGACTTGAGTATAAATTGTCCTGTGGGTCCCAACAGGGGAGGAGAGCTCTGGCTGGGTAGACTGGCAGGCTTCCTGGAGGAGGTGAGGCTTAAAGACGGAGGGATATTCTGAAGTGTGGAGCTGAAGGTTGATTTCAGGGTTAAGCCCAGGCCAACTGCTGGTTGGATGGAACCAGAGTCCACTGGGGAGACACCCAGGGCAGGGCCCTTGGAAACCAGGTGTGCCCCACAGGGCTGCCTGGAACCTGCAGAGACGCTGAGCTTACACTAGGAAGCTGCAAGTGCATGAAAAGGAGCCCAGGGAGGCCGGCAGCTCCCCTGGAGTCTTCATCAGGCAGGTGAAAAACACAGTAAAGACAGGAAGTTGCTCTTCCTGCAACATGCGGAGGACCCTCCATCTCCTTGATCTCCTGACGTGAAAACCGACACATCACTCAAGGAAAAGGAGGCCTCAGGAATTTCTTTTCATTTTGTCAAGATGTTGTCTGACCCTGTCTTCCTCCAGGGTGAGTAGTCTTTGAGGGAAAAGGACTATCACACTGTGCCCTACCTGGGGGGCAGGGCTCGGATACCAAGAGCCCTCACCTGTGCCCTGTCTCCCTGACATGCAGGTGAAGGTGCCAGCACCTGACCAGGCACCAGAGACCCAGACGCAGTGTTCTGCTGCAAGGATCTCAGGTCCAATCGAGACGTTTACAGCAGTTGCTATGGTACCCAGAATCATCCACTGCGAGTCCAATAATAATTCCCATGAGACTTTGTGGGCAATGTGATGAAGTCAAGGTTCGCCTGAAAATCTGAGTTCACGAGGCTGGATGGGAAGATTTTGAAAAGCAAGAGTAACATGGGAAAATATACCCTATCAGACCTTAAAAATACCACAGAACTACAGTAACGCTGTGGGTAGCACTGAGGATGAGAAAGGTCTAGTGTGTGCAGTAGAATGGCATTCTAAATCATAGGGAGAATGCCATGTGTAAATTTTGGGGAAATGACTAGATCTTTTGGAAGAAAAACAAAAATCAATTTCCTAATGAGATTAAAGTCTAAATAGCTAAAATTATTGTAAAAAGTAAATATGAGCTAATATTATGTGGTCTAAAGAAAACCATGGATTTGCGTATATAAATAGTTGGAAATAATTGAAAACTTGACATTTAAAAAGAGCACTAAAAAAGATTAATGAGAAACTTGGGAAAGAATTTGTAGTGTATGCAAAAGACAAATGATTTATGTCTTTTGCATATGTCAGAGCCACTACTTACTACCTCGTAACCTGGGCCATTTAGTTAACTTATTTAGACCTTGGTATCGTGCTTTATGAAATTGGAATTAAAATAGCATACACATCATAGTATTGTGAGGATCAAACGGATTAAAATATGTAAAGCCATGGAATCACTGAGCTACAATGTGGTGGTGGTCATGGTGATGATGGTGGTGGTCATGGTGATGGTGATGATGGTGGTGGTCATGGTGATGATGGTGGTGGTCATGGTGATGGTGATG